GACCCCTGGGTCCAGCCCCTGGCCTGGGACTTTCCTCATCCACTAAAGTTTATGGGTTTATGGAGTAGCCCGGAGCCCTGGTTAGGGACACAGATTCTGGAATCACAGTTCTGGGGGTGCTGATACTCTTCTGCTGTGCAATTGACATGGGATCCTGCGTAAGTCACTTCACGTCTCCAAGCCTCGGTGTTATCATCTGAGAAGTGGGGATAACAATAGTAATTTTCTCTTGGGGTTGTTGTAGAGAGTACTGGAGCCAATGAATATAAAGTGCTCAGCACAATGCCTGCCACGTGGTAATTGCTGAAAAGATGTTAGCTGTTATCAGCAGTATTTTTACTGTGGGCTAGGTGCTGGGAATAGATGGATGAATTTTATAGGGTGTCTGCCCTCTAGGAACTGGCTGTCTCAATCGGGCGAAGCAACAGCATTGCGTGACGTAAGTGGGACAATCGGCCTGAAGGAAAGCTGGGCTTGGGGCTGCGTTAGGGAAGATGATGCCCGAGCTGGGTTTTGAAAGATGAATAGAAGTCCTGGAGCTGGGTGCAGATACACATCCCACATGAGGAAGAAGGCTGTGCCGAGGTCTGGCCATGCTGAAGCCTCTACTGGAAGGACATGGGGCTGGCATAGCCAGGAACAGATCGGGAGAAGATGGACTTTCTTCTGTAGGTGACAGGGTACCAGTGAGGGTTTTTTTTTTTTTTTTTTTTAAGATTTTATTTATTTATTTGACAGAGAGAGAGAGAGCACAAGCAGGGGGAGCAGCAGACAGAGGAAAAAGCAGGCTCCCCGCCAAGCAGGGAGCCCGATGCGGGACTCAATCCCAGGACCCTGGGATCATGACCTGAGCTGAAGGCAGACACTTAACCGATTGAGCCACCCAGGTGCGCCAGTGAGGGTTTTTAAATATAACATTTATTGGAGTTTTTCCCCTTCATTAGAAAGTTAAACGTGTTCACTGAGGCACCTGGCTGGCTTGGTCGGTAGAGCATGTTACTCTTGATCTTGGAGTTGTGAGTTCAAGCCCCGTGTTGGGCCTAGAGCTTACTTAAAATTTTTTAAAAAAATATAAAAATTAAAAAAAATAGAAAGTAAAACATGTTCACACTTTAGAAAATTTGGAGAATTGGAAAAAGGCAGAAAGATGTAAAAATTCTCTGTATTTCTATCCCCCGGAGGAAATCACCATTAACATTTTGGTATGAATCCTTTGTACCTACTAACCTTTAAGATTTTTTTCAAAAATGAGAGTGAAGTATATTCAGTGAAGGGTTTTAAGGTCGGGATTGTGTCTGGAAGGATCCCTGCAGCTGCAGCGGTGTGGAGGACAAAAGACAGGGAGACCCCCGGGGACACCACAGACTTGAGGCCCTCGCTGGTAAGGCGGGAGGGGGAGGGGACCTGATGGGGGGAGGGCCGGTTGGGGAGAGCGGGGTGGGGTGGACAGGATGTGGGGATGATAAGGGCAGCCTTGGCCTCACTCTTGTCAGCTTGGAGAGGGTGCTGTGATGAGCACTCCAGGGGAGAAGGCCGGGAGCCCGGGTTCCAGTGAGTCAGCCTGTGCCTCGCACACTGAGCATCTGCTTTGTGTGAGAGGGAGGGAGTAGCTGCTCTTTTTCCTCCCCGAGGCCCCATGGTAGAGGTGACGATGCCAGAAGAGATGAGAGCATTTGAGACCTAAGATGCAGAGCTGGCAGGACCCCGCCCCTGAGAGCAGGCCGGGTCCCATGGGAGCTCTGGCAGCTCTATCCCCGGAAGGTGCCGTTGGGCTCAGGTGGCTCTGGGCAACAGGCAGTTGAAACACTCTGCAGGTGATTCTACTGTGCAGCCATTGCTGAGATCCACATGGCACAGAGGAGGGCTCTCCAGCCCGAGGACGCAGAGTGAGCCAGGCTGAGAGCGGTCTCTGGGTGCAGATTGCTCCCCACCCCTTCTGCACCCCCTTCTCAGTGCAAGACTGTTCCTCTCTGAGTGAGAGAGTCCTCTGCTATGCAGGCCAGGTCAGCCAAGGAATCCTGGCTCGGCTCTTCATCTGTCTTCTGACCCTTGGCCAGGTGCTCTGCCTTTCTGGGCCTCAGTTTCCTCCTTTTCTATGGGGTTGATCCTACTGGTCCTGCCTGCTTCACCACAGGACCACTGTGTGGAGCACTGCTGGGCACAGGAGGTGGTCATGGCGGCTGAAACCAACCAGGTAAAATAGATGTGCTCTTTCTTTGCCCAGAAATGTAGATCTCAGCCCAGGATCCACCTTCCCTCTGGCCTGGCCCTCGCTCCAGAGCACTGGACATGGGCTTTTCCGAATCCTTGTTTCTCAGGGGAGGACATGATCGATGGGCAGCAGAGCGCGGACAGAACCAGGCCCCCTGTTTCCTGAGAAGACCCTAGTGCCTTTATGGGACCATTTGTCACAACTGCTAATAAGCCCACTCGGGTGCCATAAATAGACGCCATTGCATTTAAAGGCATTATTCACACTTGCCAACTAACATCTCCTTTTCAGCTTATAGATGGTGCCTTGCCCACACCCGACCTGAGGGGCCCCTAAATGTGTCCCTGGGCTCTGCCCCCATGCTGCCCACAGGACCTCGTCACCCTTCTCCGAGGGACACCTCAAGGGCAGTCCTCCTCGCACCGCGCTGGTCTCTGCTGTCCCTGGGGCGGGGAGCGGGGAGCTCTGCCTTTCCACATGCAGGGGCTTTGCATGGGGCCTCTCCCTGCCCATTTCCTACTCCTCCACCAAGAGTCCTTGGTCTCTTCTTCTGCTATAACAGCTTTTATTAGGTGAGGGCTTTCTGGACACCAGGCACCCTGAGACAGCACCTTTAATCTCGGAGGAGTTTCAGGAGATAGGTGCTGAGTTCCTAAAGGTCAAGGTGCTTGCCCAAGGTGTGCTGGGAAGGGGAGTGTGGGCACTGTGTGACCCCGGGCCCTCTCTTTTCCTTACCCTCCTCTCTGGCTGGCTGTTCCCACTCTCCTGGGAGCGAGGGCTGCTCGGACACGTCAGGGGCTGGGGTGGTGGTGGGGGAAGGCCTGGGCAGAGTGAAGGGTTAGCAGAGAGAGAAAGAGGAGATGGACGAAGAGATGCACAGAAACACACACGAAAGCAAGACAGGGAGGGCAGAGCTGGTGCAGCGAGCCCCTTGTGGGGAGAGGTCTGCTGCTCTGTCTGCCCTCCTCTTCCACCCCAGCCCTGCCTCACCCTCTCTCTCTCTGTGGAAGAGACAAGAAGACCAAGCCTAAGGGAGGGCCTTGGCCCCCAAGTGTGAAAACTGGGGGCTGCCCACAGAAGTGGGCTTTGTTAACCTCATTTCTGGATCAAAACCATCTGGCATTGGGTGAGCTGCCTCGAGTGTCCTTGTTTCCTACGCACACCCAGTGTGTACAGTTCCTCACACGTGCATGCATATGGACACGTGCTCACAGATGGGACTTGCACACCTGCACATCTACGTGCCTTAGAACATGTGCCCATGGGTGTGCATGTGTGCACCTGGGGCCCTCACGAATGCACACACAAGGGTACACACGTGGCCACGGCGTGCTCTACCTGGGTGTGATGCCCACTGCCTGCTTGTTCCTGGCCCCTTCCTGGCCTTTGCCCAGGAGGCCGTGTTGATAAAGGCCCTTGTCCCTGCCTGTTCCTCTGATGCTTGTCAACTTCCCGGGGAGATGTCAGTGGCCCTGTAGCCCTTGGGCTTTCAAAGCACTTGTCGACGCCCTCCTTTGTGTCTGGCCCCCTCCCACTCCCACCCCCACCACAGTGTGGCCTCTGCCTCCCATCCCTGCACACCTCTGATCCTTGGGTGGCTGGGACTTAGGATGAAGGGCGCAGCTGCACGTGGCTCCTCATGGCCCTTGACCCCCCGGCTCCTGGAGCCCCATGCAGAGGAGGCCAGCAGCTGGATCCTTGTCACGGCCAGATTGCAGTCCCGAGAGGCCATCCCCCAGCCTGCCTGGTGGAGCTTCCACCTGGAGCGCCCTGGGAGCTGTATGCTGGTTGTCAGCAGCCACCTCCACCCCATGAGGGCTAGTGGGGAAACCAGAGGGGGCTGGGGATTTGGTGCCAGGGAGCTAGGCTGGGTGTGAGCTGCTCTGCCTCTGGCCACGGTGGGGTCATGGGCCCAGGGGAGGCCCCTGTGGCTGGAGCAGGGCAAGCAGGTGTCTCCGGGTGACTTAGGTCTCGGAGACTGTGTGTTGTGGCCAAAAGGGAGGTCTGTGCTGGGCGTCTGGAGACCGGGGTTCTGAGACACTGGGATCTGGGGTGGGTCACCTCCTGTCTCTGGGCAGTCTGACCTCTCCCGCACACACAGGGGGCTGGGCCAGATGATCTCTGAGGGCTTTCTTGGGATCCTCTGAATCTGAGGATTTGCAGCTGGACCATGGGAGCCAGGGAAACCAGCGACATTGGGAGGAACCGCAGCCCCCCTTTCTCTCAGTGCACTGTCCGGCCCTTACAGCAAAGTCAGACCTTGAGTGAACAACAGTCCCCGTGCAGTGGAAGAGAGCCCCCCACCCTAGCTGCACTCACAGGGTGGCCGGTGGCGGGGGAGGGGACTGCCAAGAGAGGGACCCTGGCAGAAGGAGAGAGGGGCATTTCTGGGACACTTAAGGCACAGGCGTGAGAACCACTGTTCCCAGGCAGTATGGGTCCCTTAGACATCTGTCCTAATGGTCGGGCCAGGGCAATGGAGAGATGGGACCTCGCCCTCTCAAAGTCATGCGCCTCACCTCCCGTGCTCCTAGAGCCAGCCCCGAGTGGGCCCAGGCCTTAAGCTCCCTGTAGTGAAGACACAGGAATACTGTCGTCCAGTAGGAGGCCATAGAGCTTAGAGGACCACAGCAATCAGAGAGCATTGCCCAGTGCCTGTGGTCACGTGATGAGGCCTGCGGAGCGCTGGGACCACATGGGCTGAGGGTGGGCGTCACACTAAAATCCCCATCTCCTTCTCCCCTCCTGCTCCATTTCCTGTGGCCTGCTGCTGCTGCCTGATCCTCAGGAGGTGGAGGTGAGTACTGCCGGGGGGGCCCCCCACCCCACCGTCCTCTCTTCTCCCTCTCCCTGACTTCTTCCCTGCAGCACTCAGTATGGGATGGAGGGGTAAGGAACATGTGGGCAAGGCTGGAATAAGGATTTAGGGGGATAGAGTTCTGGGGGGCTGCTGGCAGAGCTTGGGGGGCCAGGGGTCATCTGGGCAGCTGCTGGGGTGATGGCAGTTAGCATGTGGGAGCAGGTCCAGCCCTCCTCCCTCCTGGCCCTGGAGTTGAGCCTCGGCTCCAGGATCTAACTCTCAGCCCTTCCCTTCTTCCTCGCCGCCCTGTCCTTCCTTAGGATGACTACATCAAGAGCTGGGAGGACAATCAGCAAGGAGACGAAGGTAACGTGCCCCTCCCAGGTGAGGGAATATGACTGACACCTGTGAACCCTTGAGACCCGCCAAGGGCACGTGCCAACCATGGCCTTGGGGGCTCTGTGGGAGCCGGGCCCTGATGGGAGTGGGGCTTCTGGAGCCGAGGAGCTTTGGTTCTCAGGGCTACTGCAGAGAGGAGCGTCTCGGCTCTGAAGTGGGGCTGGGGGCTTCCTGGGCTCTCTGGCACTGATTTCCGGGTGACCTGTGTCCTGGCCCTGTGTCCCGGCAGCCCTGGACACCACCAAGGACCCCTGCCAGAAGGTGAAGTGCAGCCGTCACAAGGTGTGCATCGCCCAGGGCTACCAGCGGGCCATGTGCATCAGCCGCAAGAAGCTGGAGCACAGGTGAGGGGCTTGGGGAGTGGGGGGTTCTGGGGGCATTGCTTAAATAGCAAGGGCTTGCCTGATCGTCTCCTATGTGGCAGTTACCTGTTGCTGCAAAATGACCTACCCTGAAACTTTGTGTTTAAGACAACAAATGTATTATCTCACTCAGTTTCTGAGGGTCAGGAATCTAGAAGTGGTTCTGTTGGATGGTTCTGGCTCAGGGTCTGCCATGAGGTTACAGTCAAGGTGCTGTCCGGGGCTGCGTCATCTGAAGGCTGGATTGCTGTTGGTTCTAGTCATAGACCCCTCTCCATAGGGATGCTTGAGTGTCCTCACAACATGGTAGCTGGCCTCCCCTCAGCGAGGCATCCAAAGGAGAGAGAGAACAAGGAGGAAGCCACAATGTCACTTATGATCTACTCTCAGAAATCATACGTTATTACTTCTGCCACTTCTCTTTGTTAGGAGCGGGTCTCTAGGGGAAGGGAATTACACTCCATCTGTTGAAGGGAGGAGTGTCAAAGAATCTGTAGACATATTCTAAGACCACCACACTATGTGAGATCCATCACCAAGCAGTGTGGGACTCAGGGAAAGGCATCTCTCCTCTCTGGGACTCAGTGTCCATATCCGTAAGACAAATAGGTTGGCCCAGATAGTTTGAGATTCTCTCCAGCTCTGACATGCAACGACTTAATGAAATATTTAAGGTTGTAGCTCCTGAGGCTTGCAGAGGAGGGAAAGGACAAGACCTGCCAGGATCCAGACCCCTGGAAAAGGTCTCATTTCCCTCCCTTCTCTCCAGGAATCCAGGTTTCTATGTGAACTCTTGGTGAATAACTCAAAGCCAAACACCTTTGGCCGCCAAACAGAATGAGTCTCTGGGCCAGATACAGCCCATGGGCCGTCAGTTTGCAACCTCTGATTTGGTGTGACCCCTTATGCAAGGTGCGGCTCCTTTTTAAGTCTTGCAGTCAGACCCGGAGTTGCTGCCTGAAGGCCCTGCTGGACTCGGTAACCACAGGAGAGGGGTAGCTGGGGGTCTGCACCCTGCCCAGTTGGCTCCATCCGCCTTTAGGAGCCGGAGGAGGGTCTGGCTAGGGCTGATGGGGAGGGTGGGCAGGGGCAGGGAGGAGGCTGCAGGTGCTATAGATCACCAGGGCCAGCTTCCTGTTGGAGCCAGTCTCTTGAACCTTCCCTTTGTGTTTCCCTCTCTCGTTTTCGCCTCCACCCCCCGTGCCCTCCCCATCCCCGTCTTCCTGTAGGATCAAGCAGCCTGCCCCGAAACTCCCTGGAAACAAAGAGACCATCTGCAAGCCCTGTCACATGGCCCCGCTCGCCTCAGTCTGTGGCTCCGATGGCCACACTTACAGCTCGGTGGTGAGGAGCTCTGACCCCAGGTGGGGGGTGGGATGGGGGGCAGGGTTGACACCGGAAGCCAGGCGGGGGAGAGAGGACAATGAACCAGGGCCTCCAGGGGGGCTCCCGGTGCTGACACAGGCCAGGTGTCCTCGGTCAGTGCATGCGGTGTGGCCGACCGTAGAAGGGGTACCTGGGCCCTGGGCTGGGGCTGTCTGAGAGTCGGAGCCAGACCCTGCCCCTGGCCTGACGCAGGTGCAGGTGGGCAGTGGGGCTTGGACGATACAGGTTGGCAGGTAACTGCGAGTCAGAGCAAGTGAGGTAAGTCGAGAAAGTACCCCGGGCTCTGGAAGGAAGCCATGTCATCCAGTTGTCGGGGTTGGGGGTTGATGGATGGAGCTTTCCACAGGCAGATTTCCACCCAGAGGGGATGGTGTTTACCAGCAAGCACCAGGCATTCTGGGGCAGGAGAAAAGAATCCTTCATGAGACAACCATGTGGGAGGGAATGGTGGTTGGCGGGGGAGTGAATCCCTACCTTATGGGCTTGTTATGAAAGTTAAGTGAGACATTCGGGAAAGCATTTTATAAACTCTAAAGGACCACAGAAATGCAGGTGCTAATTGTGAATGCTTCTGCTAGCCACCAGCGGTTGGGAGTTGCTTGGTTTTTGGAGGGCACTGTTAGCTAGGGTTAGCTTCTAGGGCTTAGGAACCCTTTCGGGGTGACATGCAGATTTATGAGTCACAGAGTCACAGGCTGTGGGGAAGGGGGAAGTTCACCCGGAGGGGAGAGAGACTGCGCCAGAGGCGCAGTGTGGCTCAGTCGTTAGGCGTCTGCCTTCGGCTCGGGTCATGATCCCAGGGTCCTGGGATCGAGTCCCGCATCGGGCTCCCTGCTCGGCGGGGAGTCTGCTTCTCGCTCTCCCACTCCCCCTGCTTGTGTTCCCTCTCTCGTTCTGTCTCTCTCTGTCAAATAAATAAATAAAATCTTAAAAAAAAAAAAGAAGAAGAAGCAGCGGCTGCACTGGGGAGGCAGGAGGCAGAGGGAGGAGGAGAAGAGTGCTGTCACACAGCCCCAGGGCAGAGTGAGATTTGGGCAGGAAGCTGTGTTCTGAGGGTCACAGAGCTGTCCTTCGGGGAGGTAGAGGTCATCAGGAGGTCTGGCTTCCATCCCAGCCCCTTGGCCTTGGGCAAGTCACTGGGCCTCTCTGAGCTTCCGTGTTCTCCGCTGAGCTGCCAGGGACCAAGGGAGATACTATTAAACGCTACGACCCCTTCTCCTTAGCTGTCATCCCACGGGGATGAACCGGACAGGACCAGGGAAAACACTTTAAGGGCAAGGAGTGGGTGAGACCCTCTCCGAGGCTGGCTGCTGCAAACAGCTGTGGCAGAGGGTTTTTAGTAAAGGCAGGGAGTTAGCAGGTGTGAGCAGAGAGCCAGCGGCTGTTGTCCAGAGAGCTGGGCGAAGCCCATTGGAGGTAACCGTGGAAAGACCACTGAGGGAGGGGCCAGCAGCCAGTTCCCTGGGGACCGAGGGACTGTGGTAAGAAGGCAGATAGTCCAGAGGGCCAGGAGGCCGCTAAATAGGGGAGGTGGGTGGGTGGGGCTAAGGGCGTGGGGGAGCCTGGTGTCCCGGGAAAGATAAATGTGCAGAGACGTTAAGCTGGTGCCGACCAGGGTTCATGGGAGCCCCTGGATCCCTGGGAACCCCTTTCCAGGCCTGCTGTCCCCCCAACACTATGTACCTTTGGCCCCCCAGAGGTACCTGCTGTCCCTCCTGTCAGATGTGGCTGCCTGCTAGGCTCGAAGTACCCCAGCTACAAGTAGCCATGGGTGAGCCCCACCCCAGTCACACAACCCAACCTTTCTTCTCATGCAGTGCAAGCTGGAGCAGCAGGCCTGCCTGAGCAGCAAGCAGCTGACCGTGAGATGTGAGGGCCCCTGCCCCTGCCCCACAGAGCAGGCCTCCCCCTCCACCACCGACAGCAAGCCAGGTAACGCTGGTGCTGGGCCCCAGCCAGGCTGGGGGAGCCCTCCCTGCCAACATCTCCTGGAGTGCCTCCTTCAGGGCTCTGGGATGCTAAGAGAGGTTCACAGAGCAGGAAGGGAGAAGTGGCAAAAACAGGGACAGGCCTGAGGACCCGTGGGGCTGGGGGGCTTGGGCCTCAGGTATAGGGAGCATGCGCTGTGTGGTTTTAGTGCTAGGGACTGCGGGGGGAGGAAGATGGGAGAGGATGGGAGGGGGCCTTTGATTTCTCACTCCCCTTCCCTCCTGACCACTGCCCAGGGTCTGGCCTGTAGGGCAGCATCCCAAGCTGAGACCATGCTGTGCTTAACCCCACCTTCACCCACACCCCTTTCTCCCCATTCTGCCGCCGACTGTAGAGACCTGCACAGGTCAAGACCTGGCTGACCTGGGGGACCGGCTACGGGACTGGTTCCAGCTCCTTCATGAGAACGCCAAGCAAAATGGCTCGGCCGGCAGTGGGGCCAACCTGGCCAGTGGTACAGAAGCTGCTTGCTCTGCCTGGGTGGAGGGAGGGCAATGGGGCGACAGATGTGCCCTGAGCCAGCCTGCCTTGTGTTCCCTCCTGCCAGACCCTGGCAGGTCTCATTTCCCTCCCCTCTCTCCAGGAATCCAGGGCCTCAAAAAGGGCCTAAACCCTGGAACAACAAGAAGGCTTCAACTAGACAGGAGGGGTTTGGGTTAGCTATTGGAAGAACTTCTATAAGTGGGTGGAAGGAGCTTAAACCCTAAAATGGGTAGCCAAGAGAAGGCAGGAAATTATCTTCCCTGAAGGGCTTTCCAAACAGGGTTTTGAATGGCTTAGGTGCAGTCCTGTGTAGAGGCAGAGGGACGAACCTTCGGCCATTCTTGAGTTACATTCTGAGCTGCCCTGACCCTGACCCTGAACAGATGGAGAGGTGGAGGGATGGGTGGACAGATGGATGGAGTGGTTTACCTTGAGTGTGCCTGAACCTGGCCTTCTCCCCAGGGCTGGACAAGAGCCTGGGGGCCAGCTGCAAGGACTCCATTGGCTGGATGTTCTCCAAGCTGGACACCAGTGCTGACCTCTTCCTGGACCAGACCGAGCTGGCTGCCATCAACCTGGACAAATACGAGGTCTGCATCCGCCCTTTCTTCAATTCCTGTGACACCTACAAGGACGGTCGTGTCTCCACTGCTGAGTGGTGCTTCTGCTTCTGGAGGGAGAGTGAGTGTGGCCCCTGGCTGGCCCCTGGTCCCACTGCAGACCACCTGCCCCTTGCTGGCCCCACCCCATCACCAGCCCTGCCCCCTCTTTGCCCCACCGCCGCCCCCAGCTCACCTGCTTCCTGCCCTCTCCAGTGCCTCATCTGTTGGAGCCTAGGAAAACCAGCACTTTAACTCCATTCCTTGGCAAGCTCCTCGGTGATCCAGATTTTGTGGGTCCTGAAGCATATGCACGTTGGGAAAGTTAAAACTATAAATGTGACATTTCTAGGGCCCCTTGGGGCCTTGGAGAGGGCGGCTGGGTCCTACAGCTCTGAAGCTCTATTGGCTTCTCAAGGATTCCACTTCTGGGCACATCTCACATGATTTACCCCAAATCTGTGATCATCAGCCTTAGAGATAGGACATCATTTGCTAGCTTTCTATACCCTGAACCAGAGCTGGGTATGTGCTCGGAGACCATCCGGGCTGGGCGGCAACCATCGTCAGTGGGGAAACTGAGGTTCCCAGGGGTCAGCTGGCCGGCCGGCCTGGAGGTAGGGGAGGCCCTGGTGCTCCGCCTCAGGGGTCCTGCCTGGTTCCCGCCGCAGTCATGTGGTGGAGGCGGCACAGCCTCCGCGGCTTGAGGCCCAGCCTTCCACAAGGGCTCCACCAGAGGCTGGTTCGGGACGTGGGGCAAGGCACTGAATCTTTCCAAGTTTGGTTTCTTCATCCCATTTGGGAGATACCACCTGTGTGGGAGACTGTTGTGAGGGTGAATGGAGAAAATCTGGGTGCAGAGCACCATGTCAACCACAAATCCATCTGCCGGTGTGTGGTGTCTAGGTCACTTTTAGGGACCCCGCCTGCCCCGCTTTCTGGCACTTTCACCTTCCAGGTCTTTGGAGCTCATTCTGTCCATTCTGTACAGCAGCCAACTTGGGCAGGAGGCTGGGGACTGATCTCATTTTACCGTCAGCCAGGCCTCTCGCTGGGAAGGGCTAGGGACTTCTCACGGTGACAGGCTAGTTAGATTTGACTGTAATTACATCTGGGCGGCTGCTTCTTTTTTTTTCTTTTTTTTAAGTAGGCTCCATGCCCAGCGTGGAGCCCAACACGGGGCTTGAACGCATGACCCTGAGATCAAGACCTGAGCTGAGACCAAGAGTTGGATGCTTAACCGACTGAGCCCCCCAGGCACCCCTCTTTTTGAGCTTCTGTCTGTCCTTCCCTCTGGTCTTAGGTTTCCCCTTGGGTCTCTCCCCGGGGGAATCTGTGCGCTCCACTTCCTCTTCTGGATCCTGTGCCCTCATCCCAGGAATTCCCAACATCTCAGGGAGCCCTGGGCTTCTTGGGGCACCTCAGCCCATGCCACAGCCATGGAAAGGCCTCCCCCAGTTGGAGCTTTTTTTTTTTTCTTCTTTTTTTTAATCTTGCAGAGCCCCTGTGTCAATTTTTGGGAACTTGGAGGGATCTGTGCATCCCACTACCACTGTGGGGCTTCCCCAAATCAAAGCCTGGGTGTTTTCATCTTGCAGAGCCTCCTGCCTGGGCTTCCAAGCCTTGGGGGCTACTCTGTGAGTCCGACCAGCACTATGGGATGGCCCCCATCAGAGGCTGCTTCTCTCCCCACAGAGCCTCCCTGCCTGGTGGAGTTGGAGCGCATCCAGATCCAGGAGGCTTCCAAGAAGAAGCCAGGTGAGGGGGCTGGCTGGGCTGGGCTTGGAGGAGGCAGGGGAGGGGTGCCCCAGGGTCCCCCTGAGGCCTGGAGACTCCAATCCCTGGGCATTATGGAAGACGCTGAACCCAGAGGAGGCTGTGGCCTAGGAAGACAGGAAAGGGAACTCCCTTCCTGCTCTTACCCTCATGGTAGGACAGGATCTCCCAAGCAGCCGCTTAATAAGTGTGTTTTAAGCGCTCATCCATTCTGGGGCTGGAGGATGGGATAACAGAGGGTTCCTAGAACCATCCATTCAATTCACTTCAGTAGGGAGGTACGTGCAAAAGTCAGGTGAGTGCCCTCCGTAGCAGATGTTCATGTCTGCAGTAAATACTTGAGCGTCAGCCCCAGAGGGAACTGTAGACCCGGCCCAGGTCAGAACTGATGGGCAAGACAGACTGGTCCCTGGTCTCAGAAAGCACACAGGCTACTTGGGAAAACACAACACAGAGGTTGACACACCAAAAAGACAGAACTACCCACGGTGGCTTGTGTACGTGTAGTGCTGAGGGAGAACACCGTGGGTAGAAGTTAGCCTGCACGTGTGCAAAGGCCTCTTGGGGGACCTGGTGTTCAAAGGAAGACCTGAGAGATGAGAAGGAGCCCGCCAAGGGCGGGAGAAAGCTCGAGGTTCTTGGGAAACAGAAAGGAAGGGCCCACATGGCTGGGTCATGGTGGCTGAGGGGGCAGAGGGCCACGAGGCAGATCCCATGGGGCCTCGTGGTGACTTGAGAACAGCTTGGTATTTAACTGGGCCCACACAATGCCGGAACCGCCCCACAGAGCCTTGTTGACTGAGAGCCCGGTGGCCTTCGGGGATGGGTGTTAGTGCTCCTTCCGCCAGGAAGCCACGCTGGTCCCTCCTGGAGGCAGTCCTCTCGGGTCTGTGTCCCCTGAGCGTGCTCATTGGGCCTCAGGGTGCCCATCCTGTAGTGCCTGGAACTGTCATTTCGATGTGTGTCTCACCCGCCTCCCTGCAGGGGCGGAGTCTCTGTCTGCTCTCCGAAGAAGTCTGTCGGGTGGGCAGAGGGGCCGCAGTTCCAGGGCCTGAGGGAGAGCGGGTGGGCCCCGAGGCTGAGAGGAGAGGCCCGGGCATTGCTGACAGCCAACAGCCCGGCCGCAGGATCAGCTGCAGGAGCGAGGGTGTTGAGCACTGTGACATCAGGGAGGCAGCTTTTCCCGGCTCCAGTCGGTCGAGCCAGAGGAGATGCTCACGCCCAGCCCTGGACATCTGGGCTTGTCGGGTGGCTGGTACCTGGGCTGGCTGCACTCTGGTGGGGTCTGGACCCTTGCTCGTGCCCCAGGCTCCAGGGCCACCTCTCCGAAGAGCTCACGCCCCAAGGCGCCTGCTTTGACCCTGCTGGTTCCTGTCGCATTCAGGAAGCTTCATCCCGAGCTGTGATGAGGACGGCTACTACCGGAAGATGCAGTGTGACCAGAGCAGGGGTGACTGCTGGTGCGTGGACCAGCTGGGCCTGGAGCTGACAGGCACCCGCACGCACGGCAGCCCCGACTGCGGTAAGGGCCCGGCGGCAGCATGGGCGCCCCCCCCCCCTGCAACCCCGTGACCTGCCCTGGGAGGGCTCGTGGGGGGGCCTGGCTGGGTGCTCCCTGCTGGCAGTGGGGAGAGGCAGCCCCCGGGGTCCTAACCTGCCCCTCGGCTTGTTCCCCTCACAGACGACCTCGTGGGCTTCTCAGGGGACTTTGGGAGTGGTGTCGGCTGGGAGGATGAGGAGGAGAAGGAGGCAGAGGAAGCAGGCGAGGAGGCTGAGGAGGAGGAGGGCGAGGCGGGCGAGGCGGACGACGGAGGCTATATCTGGTAGATGGCCCTCGGGGAGGCGCGGCAGGCCAGGGTGCCGATGGCCGGGGGGACGGGCCGGCCGAGACCGGGACGGAAGCCGCCAGCTTACGCATGGGTCCGGAAAATACAGCCGGAAGGGCCCTGGCTCCAGCGGGGAGGACTGGGTGTGTGAGTGTGCATGGCACGCGTGCGTCCTCCGTGGCCAGGACGTGTGAACGTGTGTGAGTGTGGCATGCGCTGACAAATGTGTCCTTGGTCCACACTGCCCCAAAGACCTCCTTGTTGTTTGCTTTCCATTTATTGTTGGTTTTAAAGTGCACACGTCCACACACATACACCCACCACAAAGTCAAAACTGACGAAATGAGATGCCCCCTGCCGTGTCCCCAGGCCCCTTCCAAGCCTGTCCCGACACCCTTGGGTTGCCCTGACTGGGGTTTCTTGTCTTGATTGCTCTCCTTGCTTCCAGCCCTGCTTCCTACTGCCCTTGTCTGCCCTCTCCCACCCCCCTTTTTAGGTGTCCCCATTGCAGAGAGGAGGGAAGGCAGGGAGCTGCCTGCTGGCTGGGGTCCTCCTGGAGCCGGGCCAGTGTGGCTGGGACACCCTCACCAGCCTCTGATGACATGGGCTGGGACACCCACCGCAGTGAGCCCTTTCCCTGTGCTGGACTCCCCAGCACCAGAGAAACTCTGCTCTCCTAACCCAAGCCTGTGTGAGCAAGGGTGGCAGAAGCTGAGAGGCTGGGGGAGGGGAAGGCCTGGCCGCCAGGCTGCTGGGGTGGAGCAGAGGGAGGAGGAAGAAGAGTGCAGATCTGGCAGGAGCTCTTGGGAGCGGAGGCTGGGTAGCCCTAGATCGCCAGACCCTTGAACAGCCTGGCCCCTTCCTGTGGGCCTCAGGTGGGGGCCTGGTCTGAGCTGTTCCCTTGGAGGCAGTGGGCGGTGGTTATGCAGGTGGGTTCTGCCTGGCCTTGTGGGGCTCCTGCACTGCGCTTGTCCCCCTGGCCCCCCTGGGAGCCTGAGGATGAGGCAGCAGGTGAAGATACTGGGTCTTAGCCAGGTGTGTGTGTGTGTGTGTGTGTGTGTGTGTGTGTGGGTGTGTGCATCCACCTCCTCTCCCATCCAGACCAATGGGAAGCTTGTCCCTGAGATGTGGGGAGGGAGAAGCAGTGAAAAGCTCCACCTCCCGTGACCTTTCTCCATCTCTCTTCCAGAGGGCGACACCAGGCCCATTTCCATCCCCCTCCCCTGCCAGCGCCAGGACCTTCCCTCTGACCCCTCAGAGGGTCCCCTGAGGCTGCTCTAGTGGAGGGGCTTCTCCAGGCTCCGAAGTGTTGTGAAGTCGGAGGGGACAGGACTGGGGCCACACCTCCCTGTTCCCCCAAATCTCCTTACCAGCTGGGAGCCAGGATGGATGAGACCGGGCCACATGTTTTGGGTTTCCTTTTGTTTTCTTTCCTAATCTGTCCCATTCTCCCTGTTGAAGCAAATTCCTTAACACTTTGGGTGAAGAATTTCTAACCTGGACCTGGGCCTCTGCTGCCCTTCTGTGTGTGATGAGTGCAGTGTGTGTGTGTGTGTGTGTGTGTGAGTGGCAGTATGTGTGTGAATGCGTGTGAGAGCCTGGGGGCCACCCCCCGGGGGCCTGGGGTGTGAGGAGGTGTGGCTGTGTGGGGACCCCCCCGGGGCGACGCTCCCTGGACAAGGCTCCAGCCCGTCCCTCCCCGGCTTCTGCAGCATCCGCTAAGTCTGTTGGACCTTATGGAAGAACCTCACCCTGTGTGCCCCTTTGACTGCACCCCGAGTCAACATCTTCCCAGTCCTGTCCTGGGGAAAACAGCGAAACCGCAGCTAGCCCCATGAGCCGCTTCTCATCCCGCAGCACAGGTTAGGGTGTTGCGCTGTCCCAGACCCCCCACTCCCGCATCCCCGCGCCCCCCCCCCCCACGGCCCTCCCTGCCCTCCCACCTCCTCCCTCTGGCCCTGGCTCAGTTCAGGGAACCGCCCTCTGCTCCCTGAACAGCCGCCCCTCCGAGCTACTTGAAGCTTCCCACTCTCGCTAGGATTGGAGTCTGTCTCTTCCCTCTGCCCCAGCTGAGGCTTCTAGAACTGTCACTGGGAGCAGCTGTTGAGGAGGCTGGGGCGTTCCGGGGTGGGGAGGGGGCAGGGAGGAAGGGGCACCCCTCTCTCACTGTTGCCCTCCCCTCCTGGGGGCACAAGCTCTCTCTGTGTCTCTGGGTCTTCTGGCTGTGCACGTTTCTTATGACCTTGTAAATATGTTGTAGAAAGAAAGCAAAAGGCATTGAATTAGACCCTGGTGGGACTCAGGGGTCCAGCCCTGCCCTGTCTCTGAAGCCCCCACCCTGCTTTTCACCCCACTCTCTGAGACTGAGCCCCCCACCCCCAGAGCTAGGACAAAGCATCTTGTTCCCAGGGGGCTGACAGCCTCCAAGTGACTTCTTGTCAGACAAGCTGCAGGCTTTCTCGTGAGCAGGGTTGCAGGGTGGGCCTTCCTTGGCTCCTCGGATCCATGCCCTTGACCAAGCTGCCTGCCACCCAGCTCCTGCCATGTCCCTCTACATGGATATCCTCTCTCCCCTGGTTTAGGCAGGCAGTGGAATTCGGGCTCTGTTGAAAAGAGCTCAACCAAATTTGAAGAGCAGTTTCTTGCCTGGCCCCGGAGCTGCCCATGGCCGCCCCAGGCCTCCTCACCCACGGGTATTGGGAGAGATGGGTATGTCGAAGATGGCGGAGTTGGAGTTGGAGAGAACAAATGTGCCTTGAGAGACCACTCAGAGGGTTCAGGGTGATGGGGAAGGAGGCACGGCATTCGAGCTCAGGAAGGAGGAAGAGGAAGGTGAAGTTGATGAGGGCAACATGGGGCATCATGACGGCCCCCTCTTGTCCAACTGGTGCTGTGACTGCAGGTGGTCAGTGGTCACACTTCTTCCCCACACCAGCCCACCTGGGGTTAGTGGCCACCCGTGCGCCTTTCATGAGCTCTGTCTGCTTCCAACTTCACCTCTGAGTGGGTGGGACCCACATGGGAACCCTCCATTTCGCCAAAGCCTCACCGCAGCCCTTGGGGAGGACAAATGGCTATTCTGCTGACACCTGGCGCCATCATTGTGAGGCTGCGGGCTGGCGGGGGGCAAAGGGAAGAGACACTGGGGGTACAAAAGGAGACTCGAGACATCCCGAGGAAGTCCCAAGCAGAGCAAACTGCTTTATAGCCTGAAGCCTACTTAAATTGTGTGATGTGCAATAACTGAGCTTAGAGTTAAGAATTGTGTTCAAGTGCTTGGATTTCCGTCTGTGTATTTCAGTGCTGAAATCGTATCTTTCAGTAATTTTAGATGTCTTCAAAAAATCGAAAAACAAAGTGTTAGACCGTGTATGTGCAGTGATGGGCACTCAAGCGTCCCGTGAGTCACCCCACCCTCTCCCCTTGTGCCCCCAGCCCCTCACCCCAGCCCCCCCTCCACTTGGGGACCCTGCCTCGTGTTGTCTTTATCTGCCTATTATTCAGCCTAAGGAAACAAGTACACTCCACACATGCATAAAGGAAGTCAAATGTTATTTTTAAGAAAACAGAAAATAAAAACTTTATAAACACCACCCCCTGGCGATGTTCTGAATACTCTTTCCCTTGGTGTCATCTTTTACAAAAATGACATCCTCAGATGCGCTCCCAGCTACAGACGCATGGCTGGCATTCTCCCCCTGTGCACCTTCCTATGTGAGAGCCCGGGGCGGGGGGATTGGGGGGGGCTGATCTGAGGGGAGAACCAAGAGCAACTTAGAAGGATTTTTGGTATTATTTCCAATCTACGTGCAGTCTGTATTTGTATATACGCCAGTGAACACACCTATACTGCAGAGCAGAGATCACAGCTTATGTCCTGCTTTTCCCATTTAACTTACTATGAACCTTTCCCCACGTTATTAAAATCATTGGAAGACATGACTTTAATAGGTGCATAGTATTCCATGATGTGGATGTACTTAGTGAATTTAATAATTTTCCTATTTTTGGACATTTATATTGTTCCCAATTTCTTGGCACTCTCAACTTTAGCCCTAGAACTTGCTAATCATGACCTTCGGCAAATCATCTGGCAGAGGGAGAGAAGAATTCACCTCACAAGGATTACTTTTTATAACCTGTGGAAGTGCTTTCTAGACAGTGAAAGCCCTGTGTGATGTCAAGTTCACCCCCTCCCCCCTTGCCGGATCATAGCCAGGGCAGGCTCTGCCCGTCTGGCTAGAACAGATCCTAAGGAAAGGGATCCCTACCTTCTGGGGGTGGTTTTCTGCCCCTCCTTGTTTCTCACAGCCACCTGCAAGGGCAGAGTTGGAGGCTCAGGAGTCCTCTTGGAAGGATGAATGAGGAAAGATGTGTCTTGCCAAGGGGCTGCTCCCAGCATGCAGGATGGAGAACGTGGGTGGAGACAGGGACAGAGGTCTCTGGGAACTGGGTCACTTGCTGGGCTTGTGGGAACCTGTAGTTTTAGAAATAGAGGACTCATGGGCTGGGGGAGGGCTAGAGGATGGAATCAATCAGTGGGAATGTCTTATATCAGCCTGTGACGTAGATACTGTTGTTAATGCCCATTTTGTAGACGGGGAAGCTAGGTCTCAGAGGTTTGGTAGCAACCAAGTATGTACAGCTAGTGAGGGGCAAAGCTGGGATTCCTCTTGCTATCTACCATCTGGCACAAAGCAGGCTGCCACCAGGGCCCGGTGACTGCTCTTCACGTGGCTCAAAGGTGCTCAGAGAAGGAGAGTCACCTGCACAGGGTAAGTTCAGGAAGACTTCCTGGAGGAATGGGACTTCAGCTTGGCCCCCTACACAGGTAGCGATGGTCTAGTGGCTTACTCCTGGCTGCACTTCAGAATCATTTGGAGAAGTCTAGGCTCCCAGATCCCACCTGCAAAGATTCTGGTGTCATTGTTCTGTGTTGGGGTGTGGGTGTCAGTATGTTTGAGAAGGGTCCCAGGTGATGCTAATGTGTAACCAGATGGCTAAGCAGACAGAAGCAAGTCCCTGGGGTGAAGACAGGATGTGTAGGCAGCCAGGGCAGAAAAAACCCTGCGAGGAGCCAGGACGCGGGCGCCCCCATCTCTGCGTAGGGGCAGCGTGAGGCCTATGGGCCGGTCAAGGGCAGAAGAGCTTGTGTTTTATTGTTTTTCTTTGACATCTTGTGAATCCCCAAGCCACGCCTT